AAATTCAACAAACTTCTGCACAAAATGCTTAAAAGCTTTCACAACCCGGATTGTGAGAGGAGAAGTTAGCCACGTAACTATAAATCATCTAGCTTTGAATAATTTTCTCAGGACTTAAATCACCTGGCCCCTGGTCTGTCCCTAGAATATCCACTTGGAAAAATGTGAGAAAACAGACATCAAAAATATTTAAATGGTCCCAAATACCATGAAATTTTCATTTTTAATCATTTGAATGTTGTTTTTATAAACTAATATCCAAAAACATTCGTCTAAAAACGTTATTTCAAATTCTCAATGCTGCAGTCTTAACACTATTAAGTACTTGTGAATAACTAGCTAAAACATTAGTGTAACAAAGGCAGATTCTAGGATATGTCATTCTCCCTCAATTGACAACTACCACTGGTGGGGGCAATTATAACAATTATACATGTAAAAATGCCATAATAAAATCTGTTAATTTGCATGCTAATTTAAAATTCTTTGGGGGGGATTGTTCAAGACAGGGTTTCTCTGTGTAGCTTTGGAGAATATCCTGGCACTCGCTCTGTAGACCAGGCTGGCCTTGAACTAACAGAGATCCACCTGCCTTTGCCTCCCAAGTGCTGGGATTAAAAGTTTGCGCCACCAACACTGGGCTTAAAATTTTTTAATTAATTAAACATATGAAAACCATACACTGTCCCTTGGTTTAATTACTCACATGTGAAGAAAAGAAAAGAAAACATTAAATGTGTCAATTCCCCTCATCAAAATAATGATCTAAAAGAAGCAGTGTTCGCTGGAAGAGAATTTTCAGTCAGGACTGTGAAAATATACTGTGTTTAAAAAGCACATTTAAAATGCAAAAATTTATGAGTCATGGGTAATAAAAATCAGAGGACTTCAAAGAAAGTGAAGCCGATGCATTTGTGACTGTAAGACTAGGAAAGGACAGGTCTCAGGAAGCCCAGGGGAAATTGTGGAAAAGATGGAAAAGTCACCAGACATACACAGCATAAAGAAATGAAAAACAAAGTCAGAAAGCTTTCAAGCTACATTAAAGTTATTAGAAAACATGCCCAAAAGTACAAATATCATTTTTAATGTGACTTCAAAAGAGACATGAACACTCTCATTTATTTGCTTCAAAAGTAATCTCTTTGCCTAAAAGGAAGAAGATACTTTCCACACAAAAACAGTGCAGAGAAAATGTCTATGTAATATAGTCCTCAGAAAGAAGCACCCCAGGCTGCCTTTGCAGTAACTCCTCAGCATCACCCGTAAAATATAAGCAGTAGAAGAGGAGAATAGGACCAAGTCCCAGGATCGAGTTCATGAGTCCACAGCTATCAAACTAGAAACTACAACAATAACTAGGTAAGAGAAAAATGAAGGTGAAACATGAAAATAAATTCACACGATATGCAGATCGTTTAAAGTTTCAACTAAAGCTTAATTAACAAGACTGTTCTTAAATGTAATTCATATTTTAATATCTTTACTCTGACATACACTAAGTATCCATTTAAAAATTGCTGTAAGAAAGACGTTAAAACAATTTTAACAAACAGATTTTGTGACATTTCAGTAAGAATGAAACCCAAAGTTCAGCATTGGTGACAAAGGACTGTAAAAGAGCTTGTGAGCAAAGCTTCGTAAGGTGCTACCAGGATACTTAGCTGAGTAACTTAACTGGGCTGAGTTATTGTGTAGGTTCATATCAACTCAAGATACACCAGTCATCTGGGAAGAAGGAATGTCCAAGGAAAAAAACCTCACCAAATGCGGACAAGACTGGTGCATTTTCTTAACTGATGTTTGGTGTGGAGCCTAGAACATGCTAGACAAGTACTGGACCAATAAGCTACATTCCTAGCCCTTGTCAACTCATTTAATTAGCTCTCTATCCAGTGCACAAACATCAAACAACACTGCTGTCCATTTTGCAGGCTATCAGTAACTAAAAAGGTAGTATGTTCTATTATAAAAGAATTTAGTTGTTAGTTCCTTTATTACCTGAACATAAAAAAAAACTGTTTTTAACCTAATATTCATTAATAGAAGTCATTTAAGTAAAGAAACATAAAGGAAAAAGCTTTGTTGTGTTCTAAGTCCTATCCATGAAATTAATAAGCATTAATAAAAATTTAATTGTAATGGCAATAAGGACACCAAAGGAGTGTTATGAGAATATTATTTCAATTATTCCTGATAGTGTCCTTTCTAGAACTTCATCATTCACTCATCCTGTTTTCAGATGCATCCTGTGTTCTATAAGGGAATTAAGATCATTGATGCTGCTGACCTGAACAAAAGGGAGCTCATTGTCCCCAGAGGGATAGCTGGGAAACCAGCATGGGACTGATCCAGACCCCAGGAATGTGGGTGTCAGTGAGGAGGCCTCGGAAATCTATGGGGCCTCCTGTAGTCGATCAATACTTACCCCCAGCATAGGTGTGTACTTTGAGAGCCCATTCCACATGGAGGGATACTCCCTGAGCATAGACACACAGGGGAGGGCATAGACCCTATCCCAAAGGATATGACAGACTCTGAAGACCCCCCCCCCCATGGAAGGCCTCCCCCCCCCTGGGGAGCAGAAAGATATGGGATAGGTAGGGTGTTAGTTGGGTGGCAGGGGAGGAGGGGAGGGAGAAGGAACTGGGATTGACATGTAAAACAAACTTGGTTCTAATTTAAATAAAAAATGGAAAAAAAGATCATTGATATTGAGAGATATCAATGACCAATGATTATTGATTCCGGTTATTTTGTTGTTGTTTTAGTAGTAGTTGTCGGTGGTGGTGGTAGTATGTGTGTGTGAAAGTAAAATCACATGATCATCTCATTAGCTGCAGAAAAAGTCTGACAAAATTTAATACCTCTTCACAACAGAAGTCCTGGAATGATTAGCAATATAAGGGACAAACCTCAATGGCAATTTACAGAAGATCTACAGCCAACATCAAATTAAATGGAGAGAAACTCAAAGCAATTCTACTAAAATTAGGAACAAGACAAGGTTGTCCACTCTCCCCATATCTATTCAATATAGTACTTGAAGTCTTAGCTACAGCAGTGAGACAACTAAAGGGGATCAAGAGGCTACAAATTGGAAAGGAAGTAGTCAAAGTATCACTATTCACAGAAGATATGATAGAATACACAACTAAATACATGGATTAAAGTTATCATCCCATATACAGAATGGGCATTTAGGATGTAGCTGAGTTGGCAGAGTGCTTGCCTAACATAATAGAAAGCTCTTGCTTTAGTTCTCAACACCATATAAAGTTGGCTGTGGTGATGTGTCAGAGCATGGTCCAGGAATAGTCATGTGAGGAGAAATCTTAGTGTTTGTGGAAAAAAAAAAAGAATCTTGTGATGTCAGTTTCTTTAAAAAAGAAGGAGGAGGAGGAGGAGGAGGAGGAGGAAGAGGAAGAAGAGGAGGAGAAAATTGTTCTTGAGATTCACTTTGCAGGTGTAGTGAACTGGAATGAGTTTACATCAGATGATTCATTACAACTACCTATCGTTACTTGTTTATATGCCTCTATGGGAAAACGTGTTTTGCTACGTGTAGCCTGTGCCTGTGATTCCGCACAGCTTGAACTCATGAGAACTTTATTCACGTGATGCTTCTTAACCTTCGAGTATAAATTGTCCAATGCTCTGGAAAAAGTTGGTTACTGCATGAGACTTTAGTCCATCTCGTTTTTAGGCTCCATTCTCCAACAGTAAGCACTGGTGCACACCTATAATCCCACCATGTGAGTTAAAAACAGGAGGTTCAAAACTTCAAGGCCATCCTTGCCAACCAGTAAGTGTGAAGCCAGCCTTTTGAGATAAGGAACTTTGAGATAAGTGATAACTCATAACTATCTGATAACCCATAAGGACTGACCTGCAGTCATGACTTCTGAGGGGAGATATCTTTTACTTGTTTCCTTTGTGCCAAGACAGATTTTTGCTTTTTGCAAAAAATAAAAGAACTTTAACCTTGAGACAGATACTTTTAAATTTAGTGTTATCATTTGTTTTGTTATATTTTAAGGGCCTTTAATATTTTAAATTTGTTTTATTTTAAGATCCTTTATTATTTTAAAGTTACAGTTGTCTGAAAAATTCCATTTTTAAAAAGCATGTAACAGCCTTTATTTTGTTATTTCTTGAAAAGCTGGTGGGGGGGGTTGTTTTTTGTTTGTTTGGGAGACAGGATTTTACTGTGTAGCCCTGGATATCCTTGTCTTGGAACTCATTCTGTAAACCAGGCAGGCCTCAAACCATGCAGCAGACCTGCATTTTGTTTTGTTTTTATATTTTATGTGTCTCTGTGTGTGGCTGTACATACATGCCTTTGACCATCAATGTGCCAGAGCACATGCATGAGGACAGAGGACAATCCATGGTGTTTGGTCCAGTCCTTTCCTTTGTTCCATCTTATGGAACAAAATGAAATCTAGTGAATTACAAATAGTCTGCAACTCAGCAAATCTACACATTCTCTAAATGCTCATTACCATACCACGGGGGGGGGGGGGCATTTATAGAACTAGCTAAAACAAAGATAATGTTACAGAAAAAGAAAAGTGTGATTTCTCCATTCACATGAAGTCCCAAACTTGACAGACTAAATTAAATACTGTTCATGACTACACAGGTTTGAAATACAAAGGAAAAGATTAGGGGAAGAGAAATAGACAGCTGAGGTGAAAGGTAATCTGTTATACATGTGAGCTCTTGAGGCAGGCCCAGGAGTCTACGATTTAAGTAATGTCCTATTTTTAAGTGGAGTGTTAGATATACTGGTACCCACCACTAAGCTTTTACCTGAACCCACAAACTAGATTCTCAGCTAAATACAATGTACTAATATTGAATACTGAGTTCATGGACACAACCAAGAGCAATACGGACAAACATACAATATGAGAGTATATTTATGCAATAAATCCTTTATCTGCTTAAGTTTTTGCATCAGAATGTCACTGAGAGCAATAATGAAGAATAAATACCGTGTTTCTTATTGGAATCTTCTTGGGTTCTGGTGGCACGTCCTGTGGAACAAATTTCACTGGCTCCTTAATCTGTCTCCTTGATCGTTTGGTTCCATCTGGCAAGGTCTCCATGGCCATTTCTGCTTCCATGTCACTGCTCCCTGCCTGGTCACACTCTGAGCACTGCCTGAACAAAGTTTTGTTAAGGTAAGATCATATATTTATTTCCTTCTGTTTTTAGCTACAATTGCTATAAATACAAAAAGAACTTATCCACAAATACACACAGGTAGTGTGATAATGACAACACACAGAAACACACTAGGCCTGCCAAAAGGAGTACCTTGACTATATTACAGAAAGCAATTCAGTATATCCACATAAAGAACACATGCAACAACGCTGTTGTGAACCAACATAACTCAGAGATCACTGATGACTAAGAAAGGACCTCCCCTGTGGAAATAATGGCTGTTTTAATGTGACATGTACTGAGACGTTTTTTTTGGATTTTTATTCTTATTTTCCTCTACCATACCTTTTCATTGTATTTAATGACACAGTGTGCTGAATATAAAAGCCATAGCATATCCAATTCAATAGGATCAAAGTACATTTTCAGGGAAAGCAACGATTATCCTGGAAATGTCAAAAGCATGTACCTGAATTCATTTAGTAATCTATGGCACTACTATGACACATAAGCTTAATAATCAAACTCATTTAATCATCCATATACTTACTTAATAAATACATTCTATCAAAGATAGGTCCTATAGTTTGTGATTCCTATGCAAAAAAACTTAAGATAATTAAAGTAGCTGGGCATTGGTAGTGCACACCTTTAATCCCAGCACTCGGGAAGCAGAGGCAGGCAGATTTCTGTGAGTTCAAGACCAGCCTGGTCTACCGAGCAAGTTCCAGGACAGGCTCCAAAACAAGACAGAGAAACCCTGTCTCAAAAAAACCCAAAGGGGAAAAAAAAGATAAAGTAATCAAAACCTACTGACAATACCCACTCAAAGATCAAAGACCCCAATGCCAGGCATGATAAGCTGTCTTTTGATTTGTAGGCCAGGGTTGTCCAAGAGACTTCCAAAACATTACAGGCTATTGCTATTACCCACAGTTGCTCACCAGAGGCGAAAGTAAATCCCTATTGCTAAAGACACCATGCACTTCCACCACAGAACCTAGAGGTCCTTAAGCTGGAGCTTACCTGAAAGCCTCCTAACCTGAGAACTAACTTTCACAGTACCAGAAGGCACCATACAAGTTTCTAGAGGAAGAAAGCAAGCAACAGTCCTAACCAGCTATGATGACTATGAACCACAACAATGACCAATATGGCAGGCACAATTACCCTAAGAGTACAGTAGTGGCATGCATAACTTGGCAGCAACCAACAATTTTGTAACTGGACTTAAGTCCTGCTCAAAAAGATGAAAACCATGCCTGGTACTCAACTACCCAGGGCTAACAAAGTCATGGATCTTAGAACAGAACATACAAACCACCTCTTTAATAAACCAGCATAATTCCTAACTACATTTTATATATCTGTCCTTATACCCATAGGTAAGAATAGTTTTTATACCTCATCAAGAAAACATCTTTTAGTAATAGTTGAGACCATTACAGAAAACCACAACCAATCAAAATGCAGAGTTGTGACATCCAGTCCCTATGGATACATCCACAAAACACTAAGGCTTGGGAACATTGGTAGAAAGGTTGCAAAAGGGAGTCTGTGTGAGACTCTGAGACTGTCTCCTAGTACATGCCTTTAATCCCAGAACTTGGAAGGCAAAAGGCAGGCATGAGTTCAAGGCCGGGCTGATCTACATAGTGAGTTCCAAGACAACCATGTCTACACAAACAAACAACCAAAAACAACAACAACAAAACCCAAACAAAAAAAAAACTTCAACTAATGGCAAAATGTTATTTTTGGGTAAGAAGACAGCAGACAAAAAGATGCCTCCTTGTGACCAGTTAAGGGGAAAGGTCATATTCGCCCCCACTCTCCCAAAAAAGAGTCAGCAGTTTATCAAAGTTGTGACCAGTTGCCTGAAAAATGCAGAGTGAAAGACTGGGATGTACAAAAAAGAAGTAAAATATACAACTCACAGAGGCAAATGCACATGTTTTCCCTCATGTGCATATTTCTAAACTATGTTTGTGTGTACACTGTCTCCGTGCAGGTGAAGGCCAGAGGAAGTCAGATATCTTGTGTCTTCCTCAATCAGTTTCCACTTTATTTTTGTATTGTTGCTGTTAAAATTTTTTTTACATACAATATATTCTACTCATGCTCTCTCCCTCCTCCAGCTCCTCCCAGATCAACTTCATCTTTTTTGAGACAGGTTTTCTCATTGAACCTGGAACTCATGATTCAGCGAGACTAGGCAGACAGAGAGCTTCTAGGATTCTCATGTTTTTGCCTCCAAGGGCTAGGATTACACACACCCAAAGCCACACAGCGACCCTTATTCTGGTCCTAGGGATCCACACACAGGTCCTCAAGCAGGCACAATAAGCACTTCAACCCACTGAGCCATCTTTCTAGGCCCCTAAATCCATAACCTTTTGGACAGATTGCAACTCCAGGATTCAGGTCTTTCTCTTTTCTAAAACTAGAAAAGTTATGTTTGTATAACAATAATATTCATGTTCACCTCATAGTTTTTTCTTGCCTGTATTTCCCTTCCTGAAATATTATAACAATCAGTTTATTAAAATCTGAGCATCTGTCTCTTCCTTGGAATAAACGTAGGATATTCATTACATACATCTGGGATGGTTACTGTTAACAGTTATCTTGCTGGAATCTAGAATCAACTGGGAGACTCTAAGGACAAGCTTGTGGCCTGTGAGGGTATCTGGAGTATGTTAACTGACATAGAAAATCCATCTTATTGCATGACCATTCCCTAGGCAGGAGATACAGATCATTCTACCTTGACAATCCAGCCACAATGACCTGTACCTTGAACTGTGAGCAAAAATTACCCTGAATTGCTGAATGTTAAGTTGTTTCTGTTAGGGTGTTTCATCACAGAAACAAGTAAAGAAACTTTAATAAAATCCGTATAATGATTCAACATGACTATGTCAATGTAAAGATAATTAAGAAGTGTTTATCAGGGCTGGGGATGTAATTAAGTTGGTGGAGTATTTGCTAAACACACCACAGCCCTAGGTTCAATTCATCATATCACATAAACTGAGCATGTTGCTACAGGCCTATAATCCTTAACTCTTAGGAGGGAGAAGGAGGAATCTTAGGAAATTGACAGTTATCCCCAGCTATATAATGTCATCAACACAAGACTGGAAATGAGAGTCTGTCTTAAAAATAAAATTTTTTTTTCAAAATTTCTGGATTTTCAAACAATGGATGATGAAACTTAAAATTCATTTAACTTCAAACAATGGCTGATGAAACCTAAAATTAATTTAACTTCAAAATAAAAATAAAGAATTTGAGAAATACCAAATCATAAAATGAAAGAAAATTATAAACCCACCAGAAAAACCTCTGGTGCCTTATGTAAGAAAGAATACAATACTAAGATTAAAAATTTCATTTCCACAAAATTTTATTTTACTCATAGCTAGAAGACTTACAAGTGTTTAACTCAAATGTATGAATAAAAAATACTTCACTATGAATTAGTAATATAACAAACCAATTCCAACCATATCCAGTCTGTTTTACTCACCAGTAACTGTTTTTGGTCTTTCTTGGCATCCTTGTAAGAGGAGGATCAAGGCACCCGAGATGGTAATGCAGCTTACAGGTGTCACACAGCAAAAGAAGATGCTGATCATGGTTCTTCTTACAAATTCCACAACTTCAATAAAAGCAGCAAATGAGAGTTACCCTGATGTCCGTAAAGGAACAGTTTAGTTACAGCAGCTGAATTCAATAGCTTTAATCTTGAGTACTTTTCTTCTGTTATGGCATTTCTGGTCCTTTGAGACTGAATCTTGCTATATGGACCAGGCTGGCCCTGACCCCATGATCCTCTTTGTCTGAGTAAGTAGGAAGAACAGATGCAACAGGACCCTGCAATAACTTATGTTTTTCGTAACATGCATTGCTTTAACAATGCCAATAACTCTTAGTTCTAAATAAAGAATGTTAAAAATAGCTTAAATCTAATATAAGTTTAAGGTTTTCTAAAGCTAAACCCATTAAAGGAAAATATTTAACGTATGTATTTTCAACATAGCCTTTTATTTATTATGTAAAATTCATTTAGCATTAGTTTAATTTTTCTTTAGAAACATAAACTATGAAAGAAACATAATTGTGAAAAAAAAATTGTAATTTTGAGAACTACCCTGAAGGTCTAAAGAAATTATTTCACAAACACCTTTGTTTTTATTAACTGCAAACCTTTCACATAGCCTTAGACATATAAATAAACTACATTTCTATGTCTCTTTTCACAAAAGTCAGATCTTGAATTAAAAAACAAGTACCATACTAATTGATATAGTCCAAGCTTTAATAACTTTTAAAACCATTAACATCTTTTGTGGGGAAAAGTAATTTTACTTCTAAGAAATGAAGTAAATAAGCACTATGGCTTGAAAATTTAGCATATATTTGTATTTGGAATGTACAGAATGAGGGAAAAGTTGCCTGAGAACCTAAAAGAAACAGGAACGCACAGCAAATGGAAGCACAATAATGTCAGATATTTTCAATATTCCTGGAAAACATAAATGTAAAGCAGCAATAATAACAAAAATGAATAGCACTAACAAAAAAAAAAACAAAATAAAACGAAATACTGGATCTTAAAATTAACAGAAAATCAATTTAAACATATTCTGAAGCAAAAAATAATTGTAGTCATAAAACTCCAAGGTCTAGTACTATGCCTAGTATTTTGAAAAGAACCAATCACGCTTAGGGAACACAATATGGTAATGCACTAATGTCCACACTACAAACTAAGACAATAATGTGCTTTCCCGTATTTCACATTGATATACATGTATACATACATATATGGGCATGTTATTTTTAATATGTATTTATAGCACATAATATACACAGCATTTTCTAAACTCTCATGTAATGTGATTAATCTATTACACAAAAAGTGATCTCTTATTTAAACATAGAAAAAAATGAGGCCTTTATTAACATATAGAAAAATGGAACTATGTAAAACTACTGCAATGATCAATACTGTTAAAATATTGACTACAGGAAGTAAAGGAGAAAACTGTATCTGGAAATGAAATTATTATAACAGAGCAATGAGAGAGAAAAAATACAGACAAATTAAAATATAAAATTTATCATCTTTTCCACTACCATTCATCACTACCTAAATCAAAAACAAAACTTTACAACTCATTCAAGTAAAAATCAAAGCAAAACTTTACAACTCATTCAAGTAAAATACAATGTTCACGTATTTATTATGATCATTAACATAATTGATAATTACATAATTATAAGTAAATTTAAAAGATTAAATTTAACATAACAGGCACAGCTTTTAAAGTAATTTTGTAATTTTTCTCCCAACTGAGCTATTTCTTCTGAGTATTTCACAATTTCTTAAAAAGAATTCTTTGCTTTTATGGAGCATATGAAAATTTATTCTTAGTTCCTTAGAAGATACATCATTTATCTTTCAATCTACAAAGCATTTTTGATCAAATGAACCAAAAACACACTTAGTCCAAATTCTGAATTGGACCATAATTCACTCTCAGACGTAAAGTACCTTCTGACTTGTTCATATTAGTTGAAAAATAAACATTATTGTTAGGATTTCATTACTTGCCTATAAAGTACTGTAGGAAGAGCAGATGTCTTTTGTGTGCCTCCTTCTTTTTTACTTGGTTTTCTTTCCTTCGGTGCTCGTAAGATTGCCGGTACATTCAACTTCTATTGATGTGAATAAATGTAGTAGATGCTGTTTTAAAGACGAAGTACAAAGCCACATTTCCCCCATTTGCTAACTGAATAAGCTATGACTGAGAGGCAAGTCTGCTTTACCAGTCGTATTAGCAAAGAGAAAAAAATCAAGTTTTTAGTCTCAATTACTTCTGTTCGAAAGCTACAATTGCACGCTCATCTATTCTCAAAAATATACCCCACACTATGAAAATTATACTACCTTTGCTTGAAAACCCTAAAAGATGAGGGCAGTAGAGAAGGCTTAAAAATCTAAAACAGTATACTTGGGGAAAAACATCAGTGCTGTTTCTTTGTAACTTCCCAACTATATTGGTGTTCCATAGGTTAATTAGAAAAATTATCTCATTGGACCAAACCCTGCAAAACAGTGGATGAGATTCTCTTTGACTGTCTACTAATCTGTAGTATGCTGGCTTCTGAGACAGCAACCATCTATCAAAGTCATTTCTTAGTGGCCTGGTGAGCCCACACCTGTTCAGCCAACTGGAAAAGCATCACAAAATGATAAACATGAATTTTATGTCTGTGCATGCCACCTTCACATGATGCAATTTGCAATCTTCTAGTAAGTTATTTAATAAATGGAAATGTCTTTTATAGTAGATATTATTTTAAGCTGTAGAGGAGGAATTTAATGGAGCAAATATAAACCAAGCCAAATGAATGCTGGATTGGCAAGTAACCTCTTATACTCTCCAAATACTATAATCCTTCAAAAATCTATTAACTATTAATAGGAACAAGAGTTAATATGTCCAAAGACAACTTTTCTTCTTTGCCTTTTAAAGGGAATTATTCTTTGTAGTGCCAGACATGCAATCTGTTCACAAAAGAAGTTTCTTCAGAGCCAACACAGTACTGTACAAATGATTATTTTTTTTATCTGTACAGATTATATCAGGAAGTTGAATTTTACAAATGTCTAAAATGTATACAGTTAAAAATCCTACAAACTACTTTTATAGAGAAAGAACTACAAACAGTTGGTCTCTATTACCTATCCTTAAAACTGAAATTATCTGGAAAAAAATCTTATTTATTATATATAGTATTAAAGGACATCCAAAAAAACTCCATTTTACAATGTTTTTCTTTTTAATATGAAGCACACTAACAGGCTACAATTGCTCAAGGATAAAGAGCCTTTCTTTTGCTTGTCCTATAACTACAATTAATAGTTACCAATGTATACAAAACAGAATACTTTAACATCTAAGTTTCAAAAACTATATGTCTTGTGCAGCTGAAAACCAAATTAACATAAAAATCAACAGCTCTGTTTGAATTTTTAAATTTTAAATACAAATAAACAGAAAGAAATGAGGACATAAAAATGGAAAAGAAAAATATTGTGGCAAAGAGTCTAAAACCACTGAATAAAGAACACACAAGAAGGACTCATGCTTTATACTTTAGCTCATCAGAAATGACAGGCCAATCAATTTGGGCAAATGAAAAAGATGCCAACAAGATAGCTGAAGAAAGAATGAAATTAAGCTACATGTTCTCAGTGGGCAGTGGCTGCCAGTGGTCTGGAAGTATTTCAGACAGAAATCATTACCCCAGGGGATTAGGCTCTGATCGAATAGAATTATTTAGTTAGCACAGCAGCTGCTGTGTAAGAAATATGTACTTTGAAAAATTACATGAGAGCAAGAATTGAAGAAAGCAAGTGAAAAAAAACTAACCTGCCCCGTAATTCGGCCAAGTAAGGCCCATATTCCTTGGCCCTCACTCCGAAGTTTCCCATTCAGGTTTTGCAGTTCTTCTAAAGATTCACAGAGCTACAAAAAGAGTAATTCAAATTAGTAAGCTTATATGTACAAATGTAAGTAAACAAGAATATCTACATTTATTTTCCATATATTGTAATATATTCGTCAGATAACTACTAAATGACAAAGATGTATTATTATTACTTAGCATGGTGAACATGCTTAGAAAGTAAACATTTTCTTTTATTCTAATGTTTTTAGTAATGAGGCTAGTTTCATATATATATATATATATTTCATTACAGTAAGGTACATAATTTGACATACATTTTTCTCTGTCTTTATCACATCACATTTCCATAACTTTTCTCATGAGAAAACTAAGAATCACAGAGGCTAACTTGGCTAACATCAAAATAACTACCAAAAATTTCCAGAGCTTCTTGCTTCATTTATTCCCCATAATCTTTGGGGATTACTAGATGTTACTTCCTACTAATTTCAACTCTTTAAATGTTTTTGGAAGAACAGTTAGATACAAATTTAAATATTCATGCTATGTAGAACCTAAAAATTCAGCAATATCTCTCTTTATACAATATTAGATAGAAAGATAGAATAAAATTTTAAATTAGGAAATATCTATATCAAAAATACCATCTAATTTAAGAAAGGCTAGTAATTTAAGACGGTTTCCCGGTTTTCAACGAACTTTAAAAAAGAAGATCTATAATGCTGTGTATACTTAAGATTAAGGACTGAGGTTGGCTGTGTTAGTTTCAAACACCAACTCTGAGACTTGATAACTATGTGGCCATGTAAAAATTATGTTAACTCGTCAGACCTCAGTCCCGACCCCTGAGAACAGGAGCAATAATCATAACTTACAGTAAAGACAGGAGAAGACTAATTACTTACTATGTGTAAAGAGATCAGAACTGTGCCTGGCCTAAAAGAGTGCTCAGTGAAAGAATGATGGTAATGAAAATGATGACGGAGCTTGGAAAAGAGCCTACGAGCTACAGAATTTCAAACTGAAACACAGAGATGCAATAAAACCACAAAAGAACTTTGAGTATGATCTACTAAATACTGTGTGTTTGCAGCCAACATACCTTATTATATTCCACATGAAGCTTTTCTTGCTCATTCTCTAATTTATCCTTTATATTCTTTTGTTCAGCCATATTTTCCTGAATTTGAATCATGCGCATATTTCTCTCTATTTAAATCAAATATCCAATTTTACTTCAGTAGAAAGTAAAGGCTAATATAAAACATACACAAAGAATCAAACTAGCCATATAGATAGTCATTTCAATAAACCAACATTGTTCAAACAACTTTAAGTATATTCAGAAACAAAACAAACAAAACATGAGCCTGGAATTTACAAAAGGCTACAACTTAGGAAAATAAACATGCCTCTGACATACAACATAGGAATGATTTTCTAAAACATTAATAGTGGATTGAACTACGTCATTAGTAAATTATTCTCAGGTAGACTATGCATGTATCAGTTTCTATACTGACCAAAATAGTAATTCACAAAATCTGCAGTGAGAGCTGGCTGCTTATGTTTCCTCCTTCCATCCACACTAGAACTAGTATCTGAATTGTCCACTGGAAAGATATCTGTACTGATCCCCATTAGTTCTGCCTTGCGCATCAGTTTACGAATGGCCGAAGCACTACTTGTGAGTGGCCTGGGTAACTTTTCCCTTGGAACCCAGGCTTGCGGTCTGGTAGATCGAGCCAGCTCTGCCTTGGCACGATACTGCTGTAGTCGGGCATTGATCCTTGCCTATAAAGAAATGCAGAAAATTTGTAAGAAAAAAAATGGAATATACTCCTCATAACATTTACATTTATGCTTAGAGAAGGTAACAATACTAAAAGTTTTACAATTAAGGCAAATCAGATTTATCAGTGGTCTTAAAGATGTACCATGTAATTCTGGAGTTATAATAAGTGGATTAATAGGTGGGGACCTCATAACACCTGCCCTCAGATGGAGTCCTAGATCTAAAGTTGAAGTGGATACATGTCCCCATCCCTAACCCTGAAACAATCTCCCACTGATAACCACTTGCAATTGCAAATTGAACTTCCTCCAAGGGAGTGTCACTACGGAAACAAACTACTCTTAAGGTTAGGCTACACACCCAGCAGTAGATGGTCAACAGCAAATGGACTCAAAGACATTGTTAGAGGTTCCTTGTCTTAGAATATCATGTCAGACCTTTTCCTTTTTTAAAGATTTTTATTAATTTTTAATTTCAATTTTACCTATATATATTCTCTCTTTTTACCCTAAAGATCCTTTACATACACAGTGTGGCTTCTAATTAAGTTTCTATGAGGTTCCTGTATGTGGTAACAAACAGGTCTGTCTCTTATGCCTTCTTTTGGGTTCTTTTCCTTCTGTTTGTTTTGCAGTGTTACTTTTTGTTTTACCTTATTACATTATATTTTATTATTATTCTTTAGAAGCTTGTCTTCTTTTTAAAAAACAAACTAGTTTTTCTTTTATTGAAAATAGATTCCTTTACCACACAATACATCCTGATTCTAGTCTCTCCTTTCCCCACTCCTCCCTCTTCCTTCCCACCTCTCCACCTTCCAGATTGACTCACTTTTCTCCTCTCATTAGAAAGAACAGGCTTCCAAGACATGACAACCAAGCATGACAAAATAAAATATAGTAAGATGAAGCAAAACTTCCATATCAAAGTTGGACATGAAACCCAGAAGGAGGGGAAAAAAAAAAAAAAAAAAAGAGTCCCAAGAGCAGGCTAAAAGAGTCAGAGACTCACGCATTCTCATGGTCAGGAATGCCATAAAATACTGAGCTAAAAGCTATACTATAGGTGCAGAGAACACGGTCTAGACACATGTAGGCCCTGTGCTTGCTACTTCAGTCTCTCTGAGCTCGTCTGTGCCTTGTTTAGTTGAATCAGAGGGCCTTGGTTTCCTGGTATCTTCTCTCCTCCCTGACTCTTACAATATTTTTGCCTCCTCTTTTGCAGGATTTCCTGAACTCTGAGGGGAAGGATTTGATGGAGATCTCTAGTTTAGACCCTTCTCTCTGCATAATGTCTCCAACCTAATTTTTCAACATGGAAACAATACAAATTTGACCACACCATACACATTGATGAAGCATATTTTACGAAACAAACCACTCATGATTAATCACAAACCACTACTTAATTAGGTAAAATTTTAAATTATATTTTATATGCTAGATGTCAATGTCAATCACATGACAATAGAAAACATACATGAGATCTGAAAAGAAAATAGTAAGTTTTGGTGTGATTCCCATACCTGTGCTTCGGGGGACAGTTGTTTTTCTCTCTCTTGCAAAGACATTTTACAATAGGATTGTAGAGCCAAGTAGTTTTTTCTTTTCCATTTTCTGTCTAACCTATCTGCATGTTGCTTACAATAAGCAAAAAACGGATCTGCTATGTCCTAAAGAAAAAAGGGGGAAAAAAGTAGGAAAGTTTTACTCCAATGGGTCATTTTAAAAAACAAACCATCACCAAATCACATAGTAATATTTCTTCTTTGACACATCTCCTAGTGATTTGTCAAAAACTTGAGGAAGTAATTTTCATACATCATGATAAAAATTATTTATTTCATTTGAAATGCAATCAACCAGCCTCAAGTTATCACCATTTTTTTTTCTAAAGGACTTTGTTGATGTTGGAAATATAGCTCATCTATACAACACTTGCCTACCATGAGCAAGACCTGGATTTGATCCCAGCACTGCAAAATAATGAAGTGCCATATGTAATGCAAAATACTGATTTTAAAAAAAAAAGATATGTTATTTGAGTATGTTTGTGTATTTCTTTAAAAATTTGTTGTGTAATATATAAAATTTTAATAACCACAGGGAGGAATCATGAACAAATGTGAGTTACATATCCATAAGTGTAATAAAAGCAACAGCGAATACGTGTGTGTGTGTGTGTGTGTGTGTGTGTGTGTGTGTGTGTGTAAAAGATAAGGCAACACAAGTAGGTGAAGCTTTCCTAACTCATTGGCAATGTATACATGTATTTCATCCTGTATAAAATAGATGACGACAGAGCCTTTCAATAATAAAATTAAGGTATTCCCCATTATCCTTTTATAACTAATATCTCACATGGAAATATGGTGTTAGCCAAAGGGTACATTTTACTGCACTAGTCGAGGTAGTCCAAGAGACTCCCAAATCACTGGCTATTATTGCCCATGGTTGTCTCCCAGAGGTTGAAGATAAGTCTCTATTGCTGGAGATACAGTACCATGTACTCCAGACACAGGACCCAGACAATCCAAGCTGGTCCTGACCTGAAAGCCTCCTTCCTGAGGACTAGCTTTCATGATACAAGATGGTACCACACAAGTTTCCAAAGGAGAGAGGCAACCAATAGTCCTACTCAGCTATCATGCCTATAAATTAAAACAGTGACAGCATGGCATGCTATCCCAAAGGGTGTAATGATGGCCTGCATACCTTCGTGGTAGCCAACACCTCTCTAACTATACTTAAGGTCCATTCAACAGGAAGGAAGCCATTCCTGGTTCTAGAAACCTAGGCAACTACTAGGGACAGTGAAGTTAGGATCTTGGAGGTAAACCTAAAAATACCAGTTTACTAAACCAGTGTAATCCTATCTACATTATAAATATTTATCCTTACACATACCGCCAAGTAGAAATCTCACCCCTCATCAAGGATACATCTCCTTTGCAAAAGACAATAGATGATTACAGAAAACTACAACCCATAAAAATACAGAGAATAAGTGACCATGGAGTGCCCAGCCCCAACTGTATAAGACAACTCCTGTACATAAGGTTCAGGGATCAGCGTTTAAGAGGGAGTGGAAATAGAGCAAGAGCCAGAGGAACAGGAAAATTTTCTGTAAGATTTCATCTTCTAGAAACAATACCCATGAAGTCTCATGAATACAGCTGCCTAAATAAGATGTGAACAAAGCTGGCACCAACAGACATACTAAAATGGATAGGGGTAAACCTCATGAGTCCTCAACACTAGAGGAGAATAACAATTAAGGCAATTAAGAATTGCTTAGAGCAGGAGAAATAGTCTTCCCTGGGCAAGTGCCCCAAAATTGGTTACCCAATATCAATTACTCAGCCCTGAAATTATACACATCCAAGTAACCTTATCCTGACCCAGCAGAGCAGATTGTATTTATATATTTAGTAACACACACACACACACACACACACACACACAAACAGAGAGACCAATTAAAGAAATAACAGCTATGAATTTCAAAATAACAATATAATCTCTATTTTAAAAAACAGAATTAACATGTGTTTATCCTATGCACACTTAACATAAGAAGTTATTTTATTTATTAAATTATCCAAAAGCAGACTAAGTGTGTGTTCTATGCATGTGTGTTCCTTTGTGTGTGGAAGCTACCTCTGCCTTTTTGTTGTTGTTGTTAATAAAGGGTTTTTCTTAGGTCCTAATATCAACAATTCGGCAGGCTAGTGGGCTAACAAGCTCCAGGGAGCCTCCTGTCTCCTTTTACTTGGTGTTGGGATTACAGGCAGGTGCCACCACACCCAGCTTCTTTAAGAGTACTGGAGATTTGAACTCAAGTTCTCATGCTTTCCTGGTAAACTCTTTAAAAACCGAGCCATCTCCCTAGGGCTAAGCTAGTCTTAATTAATGCTTACCTACTAATTTCAAAAGTTAAGTAAGAAGGGCTGAAGAGATGGCTCAGTGATTAGGAGCACTGCCTGCTCTTCCAAAGGTCCTGAGTTCAATTCCCAGAAACCTCATGGTGGCTCACAACCATCTGTAGTGAAATGTAGTGCCCTCTTCTGGCCTGCAAACATACATGCAGGCAGAACACTGTGTACATGAGCATCTCTTTACTTACACAGCAAGTTAAAGATATACTAGTGTTTAGAACTTAAAAAGGTGACCCATTTAACCTAATTATTAATTATCAAAAATTAAATGAGTACTGCGGTGATTTCTTAAATTCAACACCCTAAAAACTGAGGCCCAGAGATATAATGTCTGAGAAGTGAAGATGCCTATCCTGAAGCATCCAAAGGAAAACTGGGAAAGATGACATTCTGGCTTTTTACTTTCTTTATTCTCAATACCTACCTACTCTTCATTTTTATCTCTTAATGCCTACCAAACACTTGCCATTAAGCATAAACACCTGGGTCTGACACAATAATGAATGGAGTCAACTGCATTTCTTAGGCTAGTTGTGTCCAAAGGTGTTAGATGCTGACCTTGGGTTGTTTGTACTATGTCCATTGACAAAAACTGAAAGTATCAGATTTCACTTTCCCAGCTTTCTTGATGGTAACCGCTCCTCCATTTTGGTACATAAGATGGTCAAAGCTATTCATACTTAACTGTGGACAAGAAACTTTTATTCCCAGTGAGAGAATCACTTTGCTTGCTTGCTTTAAATGCTACCATGTAAGAATAGAATGCTTAGAGCTAATTCAGTCATGTTAAGAACAGGAAACAAGAAGGTTAAAAACAACAACAAAAACATAAAAGAGCAAATAGGGAAGAAGAGAAGGGGGATGGAAGTAAGAACAAAGAAAAGAAAAAGTATTAGTAGAAGAGAAGGAAAAATAAGTTTATGTGGCTAAATCAACCTATGAACTGCTTAGACATCATATCTTCTGAAAGTTCGTTTAATATTTAGGCCACAGTAATTAGGTATCCTATTAGATGACTGAAAACCTAGGGGGCTTACAACATCTGGAAAAAGATTAGTAAGAAAAGCATATGTCATAAAGCCAGAGACATACTGGTAGGGATAAACTACAGATGTCACTATGAAATATACAGAAAGTAACCAGGCAAATATGCTACATATTCATTATATGCATATGATATAAACAAGGTTCTTAATAAGCAACTATACAGCTTCATTAAGTGGAGGGACCAACTAGAATCCTCAGTTAACTTAAAGACCAAGGGTCAGTAAAGAGAAAAAGGTCTTATCAGAGTTCCTCTTCTCTTTCTAAAAGTAGAGAGGCTCCTATTACTTAGTGTAAGGGACAGAATTAAGACACAGACAGAATAAACATTATTTCAAATGTTCTCGTAATTTACTTATTTACTTAGAAGCGTGGTTCTCCCTACAAGTCTTCCCTTTCGGTTTCCATTACATTAGTAACTGTAGCTTTTTTGGAGCATCACACTTTTTGTGGACTCCTATAAAAGAAGGACAGGAGTGAGACTGTCTTCTCTTTAGTTAATGTAACTACTGTCGGTTTAAGCCACAGGCCTCTGAATAAAACCCCATGAAGATACAGAATGTTTTCTTCCCTAACTCACTAGAGACTGAAAGAATACTACGCAATATACTGAAAATGATAAACCACATCACAAACCAGTATATAAAGCACTGGCTAACAAAGTCTGGCTGAGAATCAATGCTGGGTGTACTAGGAATACCCTTTATGTCCTACAAAAGGCGTTAGCAAACTGCACCATGAGCCAAACATGGCCATGCCTGTTTCTGTAAAGTTTTATAGACATGCAGCCACAATAATTCATTTTAAACATTGTCTAAGGCTGTTCTCATACAATAGCAAATTATATATGAGCCATAGGCTTACAAAAGACTAAAATATTTGCATTTTAGAATGCAAATATATATTTTATAAAGAATTCTATATAAAATCCTATAAAGAAAGCCTCTGCCAGCCTCTGCTCTTAGAAAAATAAGAGCAAGAGGAGTCAGAACCATATTAACTCAGGCAAAAAGCATCAGTGAAGTTAATAAAAGCAGACCTGTTCTGAAAATACTGCTAAGAGAGTGGTGGGGAAAGCAAACAATAAGCCATGTAGCCTGATGGAAAGTTATTTCAGGACAATTTTCAAAATTAACTATAAATTGCCAGCTGCTTAACATGATCACATTAAAGCCACTAAAATGTCTGTTTAAAAAAAGGACAAAACTCTAGCAATGTATACCTTTATGAATCCATTCAAAATCATTTAACCCAGCAACAACTGATTGCAAATGATCCTGGTTCTTCTAGCAATACTGAGGCATCAGTTCAGCAGCCAAAATTCTAGTTGGAGCTCTTGAAATTTAATCTAGGAATGATTTCAATTCATTATATCAAAAAGGTTTTATGAAAATCTATAAAATAAAGCCCTATGTCAGGAATGGTTTACTGCTTTTGGAGTTGCTGGCCAGTGAGGGTCCAAAGACCTCCAAATATTAAGGCTTTTGTCGCTGCTCTTGATTTTTGAAAATTTCATACATTGTATTCTGATCATATTTGCCTCCCTTTTCCTGCAACTCCCCCCAACGGTAAGACTCTATAGTTAAAGACCAGGGAACATGGAGTCATAGAACATTGAATAGAATCAAGCTGATATTGACCTAGAAGCTTCATGAGTTACTATGGTCCCTACTGGAGGAAAAAAAAAAAAAAAAAGTAATCATGAATCCTATCCCACTAAGAATCCAGTGAGCTCTAACAACTGACCATCAAAATACTCCTTCTGGTGCAATTGTGGAATGAATCCACGGGAATAACCAACCATTTTCTAATTGCATTTAAGGTCCACCCCAAAAGACAGAACCCATACCTAACCAAGAATCTATGGTTAGACATGTTGTAGGGAACAACTTACTACTATTAGCTCCTCTCAAGGGACATAATATTAAACCTACACCTAATGACTTACCTTTGAATCCATAGATTAGTGCATCTTTTCAAACCTCATCACAGAAGCTTCTTTTTCCAATAGCTACGGATTAACACAGAGCCCCACAACTGGCCAAAGCACACAGAATAAGACCCTGCATATTTATTCAGACCTAAATTCAACACCTGAAGCACATCCCTTCCTCCCAAGGATCAGGGTCCATTACAGAAGAGGGGGCAGAAAGACTGTAAGAGCCAGAGTCAGCACATGTATTTCCCAGGCAGAACAGAGTAGTTATAATCAGGAACCCCAGCAGTGACAGAATGCACACACCTCTGGCAAGCTTAAGCCAGACAGAATCCCAGCATCTACAGGGGAGTTACTCTCAACCCATGCTGAGGAGGTAATTGTAACTGACAGCAATTGGGAGAAGAAGAGTTGGTTTTCTTTACAGGTATGGCCCTCGATAGGTGGGATACACTCCAATAGATTGCCACCCGCTAAAGAGTATATAACCATTGATAGTGGGCTAGATGCACTAAAAAAGATAAAGGAAAAAAGACACAAATTTGGATGGGCTTGGAATTAAGTGTGTATTTGGGGGGAGTTGCAGGAAAAGGGAGGCAAATATGATCATAATACAATGTATGAAATTCTCAAAATATTAATAAATACATAAAAATCAACTCTATAATTTTACACTGTAAATTACTCAATATTACTCAATAATATTATGACATTGTTTAGCACTCACAAAGTCATATTTTAACCAAAGAAGAAATTACTATGAGTTTAGTTAGACAATAAAAAACTTTAAGACATAACATGAAACATAAATTTCTGTGCTGTAGATATTTGTTTTAACATCTTTAAAAAATGCAGGCTGTGTTTAAAATATGACAATTTGAGTATTCTTGCAATTTGAAATATCTTACCAAGTACATGAAAAAGTATACAGACTTCTATAGGATCTTCACCAATGTGAAAAGCAATATATACAAAGGCTATAAAACTTTAAAAATACGGTAAATATCACTGGATGAAACTGAGGTGCTTAATTCTATTTTTCAGGCTTTCTTTTACTATCCACATAAAATAGCTCTGGAAAAGTATGACATCCTACTTGACAAGCAAGTTTAAACAAGAAAATAAAAGCTAAAGAGAACATAAAACTGAAGCAGAAGACAAGATGTCCTTATAAATAATAGATCTTCTTTAATTTAAAATGTTTCTTAATTTAAAAAATGCTAAGTGGGTGTGGCCACACGTGCCCATACTCTTAGCACTCAGAGATGTGAGCAGAAGAATCACTGAGGCTACCATGGACTATACAATGACACCCAGTCTCAGGGAGGTAGGGGATCTTATACGCATCCAATGTATACATGCACAACCATTACAAATAATACCTCCATTTGAACAAAATATTGTCAAAAGCAAATCTCACTGGCATCCTAACAATTCACACAGTTTTGAAACTCTGGTAAGGACTATTTTACAAATTTCCAATTCTCACTGGCTGCAATGGCACAGATTTGTAGTCACAGCAGTGAGAAGGCTGAGACAGAGGATGATGAATGGGAGACTAGCCTGGGCTGTGCAGTGAATTCACATCAGCTGGAATACTTAGTAAGATCCTATTGCAAAGCACAACAAAAGTTCTAATTCTCCTAAGTGTTTACAACAATAAACTAGAGACCTATGGAAATATGCTTTAATAAACAAAAAAAAATCAAAATTAAAAAAAAAAAACTCTATACACTAAGCAAGGCAGCATCAAGAAATTTACCCAATGAATAAAAGAAAGCAACAAGGCCGGAAGAGGCCTCAGGTCCAAGTTTGTCAACTTTATTATTTCAGTTCTTAGACACAGTGACTACAAACTATTGACTATGTTTGGTCAATACTGACTATGATCTGCATGCCTTCTGTCAGGGAGAAGCCATCTCCAAATCATTATGCATCCCAATGTTTTATACATTTTTGCTTACTACTTAACTAAAGAGTCTTTGTCTTCTCCAAAAAGGACCATGTATAGTGCTATGTATGCGAAGAAATCAAATAACACCCTGACTATAAAATGTAGTTACCCAGAAGTAGACACCAAGGCTGAACTTGCAGATTCTCCATTTTCCCCTGCGACCTATGCAGTCCTCTTAGTCACACTGCATTGCCCCTCTGCACCTCTGCCGTCATCCAGAGTCAGTAGTGACTGACCCACACAGTGCTATGCTGCAGTTACACTGCTGTGTCTGCCCAGGAGCTGTGAAAATGCTCAGTGCGCATCCAATACTCATGCAAAGCACATTTCCTCAGAATCAGACACACATCAAAATAATTATTCTACCTAAGATCTATTTAAGTTAAGATAAAATAGATCCTTCGAGTGTTTTTCAAAAAAAATTTCATTAGATTACTAATTTCCTAGTTAAAAGTATAATGAACATTTTATAAGAAAATAAAATGTCATATATCAAATAAACAATGCTTACATATTATCATAAAGCATCATGAAGGCACAGTGAACACTTACTGAATTATGTCACTGCACAAATTGTTCAATTAATTACACCTGATCTTAGGATTCCTTAAAATTCTTTAAAATTATTATAAATGCCAAAGAATTAATGGGCTGTGCTTTTACAAATTTATTATATGAATTAAAACTTTTTGAATACTCTTAAATACTAATTAACTTATCTTAAACCTATTAAATACATATTTTAAATCAAGATAACTAGCATGGCACTATGCAAGAAATATTAGGGGGAAGGGCTGTAGTTTATATTTTTGCAACTCTAATATCTACCTTCATAAGATAAAAACAGAATTCTCAAAACTATTTCCATTTGCAAGGTTACACTGTTATGTTGTGTGCAATCTCTAGAAACTTCCAATGTTTACAACTTAGAAATACATATTTTATATTGTTATAAAATAATATGAAGCATGGGGTCCTAGAAACAATTTTAAGGACTCCCCCAAAAATATACTTTGTAATCACATAATTACTTAATCTAAAGTCAGTAAGTCTGGAAGGAATACTAGGGAGCTAAAACTAAAGCCAAAAAGAGTAAGTTACCTTAAGAAAATGTCATATTCCTGTATAAAATATGCCACATATCAGTTCCTTAAGATACTCTGCATTTTGTCTTATCTGTCAGAATTCACTACAAAAATTTCAATGTGCTTTCCAGTATGCTATAACCAGTTTTAATGACAAAAGTCATAGTCATTTACTATTCAGTATTTAAATCTGTGGTCTGGTAAAAGACTGAAGAATAGATTATGAAGTTTCCCTTAAGCTTTACAATTGCTATAGCGCATAGCAGACATAGTCTTCTGAACACAGTTGGCAAGTAGGGGGAAGATAAACATACCTCTTCCGCTGCTGCCTCTGAAAGCAGGCCTTCCTTCTGGGCACAAGTAACATGAAAATAGGCTCTGCACATCCCTGCATCACAGCTAATGCAAACTCCAGTTCTAGCAAAGCGAGGGTCTTCACAAAAGCTACACTCCTATGAAAGTAACAGGAAAACTCTCACAGCAAAAGTATTTCTGAAGCAAAAACTAGCCTGTCATAAAGCATCCTCTAAATATTATCAATACAAAACATTGAGGGCAAGCCAGGTCTTCTGATGAAAAAAGAGAATTCTTTGCACAGTTCTAATCAACCAAAATTAAACTGATATACTAGTAAGAAGAGATAATAGTATGAGTATTTGGGGTGCTAGGCACTTAGTCTTCTAAGTACTTTACACATTAATATATTAAAAAAATTAATACAGAAATTTGGCAATTTTTCTTGTTACATTAAAGTTAAAGTGGAAATGAGCTAACATGTGATCAAAATAAATAGTGGTTTTTTATTCTTTTTCTTAATTTTAGTAAAATTCATTTCAAAATTAAAGTAAAATTTATTTGATCCAATTGAGTGTAACAAGGTGTTTTCTGGGTCCCAGAGTACAGAAACAGTATCAACTAATACCCATTTTTACAAGTTAGCTTATCTAAAGTTACACTATAGGGAAGAACCAATAAATTAGCCTTCTGGGAAATCAACTATCAAAATGATTCAAGGATAGTGACCCATACCTGATCATTTAACTAAGGGAGAAGAGGCAGGCTGCTACCTCATGTTTGAGCCTCACCAGAGCCAAAGTGAGATATTATTTCATAAATACAAACGCAAAACAAAACAAACTAATAATATACTAATAAATGACTTAGTGATAAGAGTTCCTCAAGCAGTATGCTTGCTAGTAAACACCTCTGTAGTCAATTGAAATTACTAAAAAGCTATGTGAAGAAACAAAATTTTTAATTATAGTTAATCATGAATGAGTTTATCTTACCTTAGCACCATATTTAGAATAGTTCATTTCTGTCAGTGTTACTGGTCGTAACTTATCAATATCTCCAAAGGCTACTCCAGGAACATACAGGGCACAAACAATGTGGACCCATCTATAAGAGAAAAAGACACAAATCTGGATCAAATGCTTTCCCGAAATTCTCTCATAAAAAACAAACATAAAATATGCTCCATCTTTTTTTTTAATATGTTCCATCTTAAAGTACTACTGAAAGACCAGATGGTTTAAAAAAAAGAAAAAAAGAAAACTCTCCATCTCAGTCTCTTAACTGAAAAATACAGAACACCTACAGACTGATAGCAGGTGATTCATCATTGAAAACAGGACTGCAGTGAGCACTGCTTTTCTAGAAGTCTAGTCAAAATGCAGCTTCAGCAACCATAATTGCTTTTCACTTAAAATTCACTGCACTTTGCTCTTATCTGTTATTCTTAAATATTTGCATAAGACTGCTATTCAAGGGTAACAAAATATCCTTTCATATTCAAGAAAAGAGATTCACATCCATTACTGTGAGCACTTTTAGAATAAGGATTCTAATTTAAGAAATACGAAGTTATTCTGTAGTAATTAGGTTGATTGTCCTTTATTGCTACCTTTCCCCTAAAGCTGTTGGATATATTTTAAAACAGTTTTGGTAAAGTTTAACGTTCTTCTTGGTATAAAGATGGTGGCTGAGAAAAGGTACAAAGCAAAGTTATAATAATGAAAGCATGTCATGTTCCCTATATAACTTATGAACTGAAATTTACAAACACCACCTACAACTACATTGTATAAATTCTGCACAAAGCTGTTAATACTTTTTAAAAAAAAATGGTCAGTTTCAGCACACTGAAAAAGAAAAATGAGTTGGTTCTGAATTCTTTAAACTGCTCTGAGCTATTAATTTATTATGTATCTATTTGCTTGCACCAAACAATATGTTGACTAGCTGTCTGAAAGTTAAAAAGCAGATATGCATCACTTATGTAAGATAAAAATAAGATGGCAAGTCTATGAACTTTGTAAATTTATTGACAGATTTTGCTTTATTGCAGCTTAAAAGGTTCTGGTTTTGTGATGTACTGAGTTTTAAAAGACTGAGAATCATTCTATAGAGATATTGAGGAAAACAGTTATAAATCTTTAAAAATTTTTTATCATTTCTTGTGGAAAAGAATCCACGGTTCTGAGATTTTCTAGATAAAACATTTTAATCCAACCTCCCAAACGCACTGTGCAGAGTTCAATATAAAGATAGCATCTCAACAAGCAGTCACTTCCTCAATTTAATCTGCGTGGTTTCTTCATGCTCTACTGATGTATCAAATGAGGCTGTTCTCTACAGGAGTTTATCTTTGAGAAACCTAACAGCTGGCTGCTTGTTTTGTACTGACCTTCTTAACATGCATCCAAACAAGTCACACAAGTAGGGAAGATTTCTGTGTGACTGGCACACAAAGTATCATTTTCTCCAGCCATACATGTGAGGACACCAGCATGAGTTCTTATTAAATTATGTATCAAAGTCATTGCAAATCACCACTAAGACAATTTTAGTCCTTTGAGCACTTTTTTGTTCGCACACTTTAGAATTTATGTAATTAAGTTGAGAGATCAAAACAACAAGAAAACCTTCCTTGTTACTTTACCATCCATTTGGCCTGGAGCTATGATAACAGATGTTGATTGGGAAAAGGAGTAGAAAACAAGTATCACAAAACCACCAAAAGACAGAGACAGACTGCCATTCTAGAACGAAAACTATCAATGCATTTGATTACATCCATATTGTTTATAGGCAGGCAACGACTAAGTCTTGAGAAAACTCCTATCTCCAATAGAAATGATACTAATGGAATGTTTTTGAAATACTTTTTTCCTTGTAGTACCTTTACCACATATTTAAAACATATTTTTAAAATATCTACAGCATGGTACTTCCATTCCTTCATTGAAGAACCAATGAATAAGTTAAGTGCCTCCTGGCATTACATAATGTGGAATTTAGATGTTTGGAAGTGCTTAAATGTTCTTCACTCAAGGAACATTCATTACAAGAAAAATAAAAAGATGTGAATGTTTCATATAGGTGGCAAATTGTTCTTCTCATTTTACAAATCATGATTTCAGAGGGTTGATGATTTCAAATATAGCAAGTCTAGTAGAGGAAAGCAGTGAGTTTTAAGAAATCCAATGCTCTCTTATTTCTACTGCATCATAATGCTTACAGAAGAGAAAGAAAAAAGGCCAATGAATCAGAGCCATATTACATTCCAAATACATAAGAGCACAGCCTACAAAGGCTGCAAGGAAGGAAAATAGAGGCAATGGCCACTCAGGCTCCTTTAGGGTATATGCCTTTCCTTGCTTTGTTAAATAAACTTCTGTTTAAACTGGAAGCAGAAAAAAAAAGGGGGGGGTGATGGAATATAGAAATATTTTATACTTCACAAAATTGGTTCTATGATTACTTAGAGCAAAATCTTCTATTTAAGAAATGAAATAAAAATTAAGATTTTTTTCAAGAATTACACAGCTGTTTTCTCACATTAAATCATTTTCCACATAGAAATTATGGCTCACATTAGTAGAGGAGAAAGTCTAGCTAAATCCATGTGATAAATCAATTTCAAAAAACTTTTTTAGCCTGTCCTTAAACTACTCTTGCTTTATCCCTGCATCCCACATGAAGATAAGAATCCTAAAGGACTTGTCCTATTTTTAAGGCCTTTTCTTTTTCTTGGTCTTAAATCAAACTGCCATTACATGCTACAAAAAAAACGAAGTGTTTAAACAGTCTATTACAGAACTGTACCTCTCAGACTGCTCATGGAGTACCTAACTATATATGTAATATGCACAGGAGCTAATACAAGTATTTTCCAATAAAACCCAAATGCTTAAAGTGTTTTCTTTTGTCTTCCTTTGGAAAACATTACTTTGCAGAGTATGACAGCACAAAAAGAGTTTGTCAATACTACTTTTAAATTAACAGGAAAACCAAGCAAAATGAGTTCTTTTCCTCAAAAGGAAGCTGGGTTTTTTGGGTTTTTTTCATTTGTTTTATTTTCTTCTTTTTTCAAAATGGCCTTAGTTCACCACGACGGACTACTCCAAGTTTCAATAGTCAAGATTACCAAATGGCAGGTCTACAGCATCAGCTGCTCAGAAGAAAGTACTCGTAGCAGCAGCACTGACAATGAATAATGAGTGGACATTTACTGTCCACCACCTTTGTCAGGAACGATCTTACATGAGTTGTGCCATTTAAGCTTCTTAACAGTACTACTACACTAAGGCTTAATAACAAGGCTAAGGAACTCACCTAAAGTCAGAGCAGAATAAAAACAAAAACAAAATAAATCTAAATAAGGGCAAAATGCTTTGAAAGCACATATTTATTAATGCTTAGGCAATAGTCCAAAAATGCCATGTATACAATATGAACAAGTTCTAGTATATATAGCAAAGCACTTGCTATTATTTTACTTCATTCATTTCTTTTCTTAGATGATGAGGAATCTGGATCTTCAGCACACAGTGTCCCCTAAGATCCCACGGAAGACTCTATACTATCTCAGCAATCTACTGCAGCTATATTTCTCAAGGGTCTGCCTACTAATTGAGACAAAATGAGAAAAGTATTTTTCTTAATTTAACTACAGTAAAATGTATTACATCCAAGTCTAGGTTTTATTTGTATGTAGACTATGTCCTATGTTTGCAATGTTTAAAAATGATTTAAAAATTATGTCATTTGGTAGTTCTTGCTATTATCATTAAAATATTAACCATTCTTAATTAAAACATTCTAGGTGAAAAAGAGGTGGCTCAGCAGTTAAGCATATACTGCTCTTGCAAAAGACCCATGTTCGGTTTCTAACACCCACAACAGGCAGCTCACAAACACCTATAACTCCAGCCCAAAGGAATCTGAAACCCTCTTCTGACTCTGCAGGTACCCGCATTCATGTGCACTCACCTATACAGCTATAGGCATATACACTTAAGCTTTGAATAATAAAAAAGTGAATTTCTAAAATTCTAATGCCTCATTTGTCAAAATAAAAACATGAGTGTCCCTTTTATTGGCCGCGTTGAGAAGTAATTTTCAAAACACTCAAGTGTTGTTTTTCTTTTTTCTTGTAGCTGCCTTTTAATCAACAAATGGTTCTGTGGCTATCAGCATCAGCTAAGCTGCTGCTCTCTCAGGCACTGACTCTTTCAAAGCTACTAAGGAAACTTATTTAAATCTCTGTCCCACTAAAGAACTCAAGATTCAAAGGCTGAGGGAGAATCCTGCTTCCCAGAGAGGCTGAATAGCAAGCAGCCCACCTAGCTCACCTCTTCCATGAAGTCCTCATGCTCAACCCCCCGACTCCTTATGAACCCTTCTCCAACTGGCTCCTCCCTACAACCGCCTGTCAGCTAGTTGCTGACCCAGCCTTGCATCATTAAGCAAATATTCCAGAGCATAAACAAAAGTTAAAATCAATACTCAATAACACACAAGACTGGGAATAACTTATACACTGTAGTCAATCACCCCTACTCTCATAGGAAAAAAGCAACATAAACAATGTCAACACTTTTATGATGGTAACTGTTCAAATGTGGCGGTGAGCATGACAGGGAAAATATCACAGGTCTTTGTGCCAAATATCAGTATATTTGTCTTTTGGCTTCACAGACAAGAGTTCACATTTTCTCTGCAACGAGAGACAGGATTCCCTCAGCACTTGTCATTTAGCAAGTGTCCTTTTGTTATCCCTATAGCTGGGCACTGGAACTCAACAGTAAAGGGATGAGTTTCTCAACAGGACAGACAGAGTACATCTGCTACAGCATAGCCACACACCCAGTCCTTATTACCTCACAATCCTGGCCAGACCTTGAGATCACTTTTCACTGCATATAAAACAAGCTGTTTTAGAAACAGAGCTGCATGTCTCCAGCAGACTTCGACCAGCCACTTACTTTAAGATCTGAAGACTGGCAGATAAAACAGAACAGTTTTCTGGCACCCAGTAGGCTACAACTAGTTCTTATGAAGAAGTCCAAACCCCAGTGTCGGAAAAGAGGTCATTCCTTTAATTTTGACATTCCTTAATCTAGGATTTCCTTCAGAAGTTCATTTATAACTTCCATGTACTTTTAGGTCATATTTTTGGTAATTCTTTTTTGTTTTGTTTTGTTTTTTGAGGCAGGGTTTCTCTGTGGCTTTGGAGGCTGTCCTGGAACTAGCTCCTGTAGTCCAGGCTGGTCTCAAACTCACAGAGATCCACCTGCCTCTGCCTCCCTAGTGCTGGGATTAAAGGCACAGCCACTTCCGCCACCTGGGTTGGTAATTCTTAATACTAAATTTTTCCATTTTTTAAACACCGGATATTATACTCCTGAAATGAGACAGATCTGGGTTCAAATTTCTCTATTTACCAGACTGTCCTGAGATAATGTATGATATAAATGATGTGAGTCTTGACCACTATCCTTATAATTTGAGAAACTACCACTGCTTCTTCCCAGGATCACTAAAAGTAATTGGGATGATGAGTGTAAACAACAGATGCAAGTAATTGAGAGATGATCTTTCTTATTCCCTTCATCAATCTATAGCCTACTGGCCAATTCTTTCTTTTATACCAAGAAGATGGGAAGAAAAGTGTGTGACTCAAAAGTCATAAATGGAAGAAATGGGCACTTCAAAGCAGCAATGGTACAAAGCAGGCATATGAACACAACACACTGGGGAGGGACATCAACCTTCCAGCATCAGTCTCCTTGAAAATTCCATCCTGATTAGGACATAGTTCACAGCTAGGAGAAACACCACATTTACAGGCATCACAAAACCAAGGCTCAGTGGAGTTTTCCGAAGCTGAACTCATAATGGAGTCACTCTCCCCATCAACTCCATAACAACCTAAAAAAAAAAAAGAAAGAAAAAGAAAAAAAAAAAAGAAAAGAAATAGTTATTATTTAATAGGGTTTATTTTTTAAACTCACTTTTGTAAGAATCAAAACAGAAATAGAAAATGATAATACAGAAAAAATCTGAAAGAGGCAATGGTTTAAGACTGAAATAGAAAAAAATGAGTAAGATCATTTTGCAAAATTACTTTTTTATCTTACAGCTATGACTTACATAATCCATTTCAAATAAATGTTAGCCCTATGCTATTCAAAAGTATTAAAACAGCATATTTCAGTGTACTCAAAAGTCTTATAAGAGAGTGCCAAAGAAATCGTTTTAAAGGGATTAAATTAGCACACAAGCAAAGGGATTAAAACGTATTCATTTCTTTAATATTAAATTTCAGTTAGCAAGCAGAATCTTCATTGCTTATGTGTGAGTAAGATTTTTTCATACAAAACCCATAAACTTAAAGGACTTAAAATTTTCTTGTTTTCGCAGTTACTGATACCTATAAAAGAGCAATAACTAAAATCTATTCAAAGAAAGATCATAAAAGAAAACAATAAAAATAAACCTATTTTCTCAATAAGCAATCTAATACTACAGAGACAGAAATCTACTTTCTTTACAAAATAATGCTCCTTTAAAGCAAATTATTTCAAACCAGATGAAATCTGTATTCAAAGTAGATAATTAACAAGGTAGGAATGACCCCCAAGTGTCTATCAAATTTACTAACTTCATTTAGTAAAATCAGGACAAATCACTGCAGTTCACATGGTTTCAATTCAGTTCTAAAAGTGCACACTACACATAGCAAACATCTGCAGAGTTCTAAACTACCTACAAATATCCATGGCAATGGATTCTGAACTTCATTCCCCAGCATGGTCCTCTGTAACCCAGAACACTGATACTCTTCCAGTCAAGCGACGGCCGTGGGCACGTGAGGAAGAGCTTCCCTTGTCCTGAAAACGGACACACGCTGTATCTTCAGAGTTCTGTACTTGCCATTCTCCATATTTTCTGTCTTACTCATAGTATTTACTGATCTCTCAACCAAAATTCTGGCACTATATACCAATTTTAATTCAATCCAATTAATGACTAGATATATTTTAAAATACGTGTTTCTTTCATTCAAAACATGAGGAGGCAGACACGCTCAGTGGCCAGACAATCAGCGGAATCAAGGAGCTCCTGACTGAGAAACTTCTGTCTCTGGAGAATAAGGTGGAAAGCAATTAAGAAAGACGCCCATCATCGACCCCTGACCTCTATGCAAATATACTGTATGCACATGCAAACACACATATCCTTCCTACATATACCAAAAACCACAAATAGGAGAAGCTACTACTATTTGCTACTAAATAAGCATGCAATAAAATAATTCCGTATGTCATATCGTGATATTCAAAGACCACCTCACCAGACAAGCCTGCTTTTGCAGTAGACAGTAATTAACAGAGACCCACACAGCTCAATGTGTCAAGAATAAGAGAATTTGGAATGCTTAGCACTATATGAATGTCTATAAAACACACACACACAACACACACACACACACTCATATACCTTAAGGCTCGACGACCTATGGGGAAGAGGCAACTAAGAGATTATAAGAGCAGCAGTGATGGAAGACTTCAAGGCAATAGTATTTTCCAGACACAACAGAGTACCCACATGGAACTCAGCCTGTGACAGCATGCTTAGGACATGCACAAGCTCCAGCAAGAAGAATGCCAGCATGAAGAAGGAGAAATGGGACTGGGACAAGGACAAGGTCCCACCTCCACCCAGGAAGCTACTTGCAATTAATAGCTGCTGAGAGAGAAATCAGTTTTCTCCAATGGAGTGACACTGGGTATATCAATCACACTCTGTGGCAGGGTCTGTATTCAAGAATAGTTGGCAAACACAAACTTGACTCCATAGTTCTGTTTATTTTTTTAAGAGAAAGAACTGACATGAAGTTGGGTAAACAGGAAGACTGGAGAGACTCTCATGAGTTGGGAAAGGGGAAAGAATATGATCAGCTTATATTATATTATATGAAATTCTCAAAGAAGGAAAAAAATTATTTTAATTAAAATGAAAAATGAAAAACACAAATAAGTGCAATGTCTTGTTCTGAGCAACAAAACGTTACAAGTTAAAAAAAAAAAAAAAAAGAGTGAGTGTGGGCCTGTCTGCAGCCCACCTTCCACTTGCCCTCCTTGGAGTCTCCTGGACTGGGGACTGAACACAGGTGGACCCACCCTGGCAGGCCAAGCCATCCAGAGTCTGCCTATATCACAGTTCTAGCCCCGCCTCCACCCACTGGGAGAAGGACTGTCTCAGACCCACCTGCACCAACCTGAAGAGCCATCAGAGTATTGGACCTGCTTGCACCCACTGGAAGAGAACCTTGGACCCCTACGCACCAGGAAAGGAAGAGATGCCACCTGCACCCACTGGAAGAAGGCAGGGGAAGACAACAGTATAAAGAACACATCCAACAACAGAAAGACCAATATGACGCCAAAAGAGTCCAGGGATTCTACAAAACCAAGACCTGAACATTCCAACACAGATGAAGCAGAAGAGAACTACATTAAAAACATTATGAAAATGATAGACACCCTCAAAGAGGAAATAAGAAAATCTCTTTTTAAAGAAAGGCAAAGAGAGATCACGCAAATTAACAAAATCAGAAATGAAAAGGGGGACATAACAACGGACACTGAGAAAAAAAAAAAAAAAAAAACGGACACTGAGGAAATCCAGAGAATCATCAGGTCATAATATGAAAACCTGTACTCCAAAAAATTCAAAAATTTAAAGGAAATAGACAATTTTCTGCATAAATATCACTTACAAAAAATTAAATCAAGAACAGACAAGCAATTTAAACAGACCTATAACCTCTAATGAAATAGAAGCAGCTATCAAGTCTCCCAACCAAAAAAAGCTCAGGGTCAGAGAGTTTTCAGTGCAGAATTCTACCAGAAATTCAAAGAATAGCTAATACCAATAATCCTCACAATGTTCCACACAATAGAAGCAGAAGGGTCATTGCCAAACTCTTTTCATGAGGCTACAGTTACCTGATACCCAAACTACAAAAAGACACAACTAAGAAAGAGAACTACAGACCAATCTCCCACATGAACATTGATGCAAAAACACTCAATAAAACAATGGCAAGTTGAATCCAAGAACACATCAGAAAAATCATACACTATGATCAAGTAGGCTTTATCCCAGGGATGCAGGGATGGTTCCACATACAAAAATCCATCAATGTAATCTGCCATATAAACAAACTACAAAAGAAAACCACATGATCATCTCACTAGATGCTGAAAAAGCCTTTGACAAAATCCAACACCCCTTCATTATAAAGGTCCTGGAGAGATCAGGGATAACAGGAACATACCTAAACATAAGGCTATATACAGCAAATCAACACCAACATCAAACTAAATGGAGAGAAACTCAATGCAATTCCTCTAAAATCAGGAACAAGACAAGGTTGTCCACTCTCTCCGTATCTCTTCAATATTTTACTTGAAGTTCTTGTTAGAGCAATAAGACAACAAAAGGACATCAAGGGGATACTAATTGGAAAGGAAGAAGCAAAACTTTCAATATTTGCAGATGACGTGATAGTTTACATAAGTGACCCGAAAAACTCTACCAGGGAACTCCTATTGCTGATGAACACCTTCAGCAAAGTGGCAGAATACAAGATTAACTCACGAAAATCAGTAGCCCAACTATATACAGATGATAAATCTGCTGAGAATGAAATCAGAGAAACATCACCCTTTACAATAGCCACAAGCATAAAATATCTTGGGGTAACTCTAGCCAACAAGTAAAAGACCTATATAACAAGAACTTTGAGTCTTTAAAGAAAGAAATTAAAGAAGATACCAGAAAATGAAAGATCTCCCATATTCTTGGATTTGTAAGATCAACACAGTAAAACTGGCAATCTTGCCAAAAGCAATCTACAGATTCAATGCAATCCCCATCAAAATCCCAACACAATTCTGCACAGAACTTGAAAGAACAATTCTCAACTTTATATGGAAAACCAAAAGGCCCAGGATACCCAAAAAATAAAACCCTGTACAATAAAGGAACTTCTGGAGGAATCACCATCCCTGACTTCAAGCTCAATTATAAAGCTATAGTCCTGAAAACAGCTTGGTATTGGCACAAAAATAGACAGGTAGACCAATGGAATCAAGTTGAAAACCCTTATATTATCTCACACACCTGATTTTTGACAAAGAAGCTAAAATTATACAATGGAAACAAAAAAGGATCTTCAACAAATGATGCTGGCATAACTGGATGCTGGCATGTAAAAGACTGAAGATAGATTCATATCTATCGCCATGCACAAAACTTAAGTTCAAAGGGATCAAAGACTTCAACATAAATCCAGCCACACTGAACCTATTAGAAGAGAAAGTGGGAGATACCCTTGAATGAATTGGTACAGACCACTTACTGGACATAACACCACACAGACACTGAGATCAACAATTAATGAATGGGACCTCCTGAAACTGAGAAGCTTCTCTAAGGCAAATGACACTGCCAACAAGACAAAATGGCAGCCCACAGAATGGGAAAAGATATTCACCCACCCCACATCTGACAGAGGGCAAATTTCCAAAATATACAAAGAACTCAAGAAGCTAGTCACCAAAACACCAAATGATCCAATTAAAAACTGGGGTACAGAACAAAATAGACGATTCTCAATAGAGGAATATAAAATGGCTAAACGACACTTAAGAAAGTGCTCAAATTCCTTAGCCATCACGTAAATGCAACTCAAAACAACTCTGAGATACCATCTTACACTGGCCAGAATGACTAAAATCAAAAACCCCAATCACATTCTATGCTGGAGAGGATGTGGAGAAAGGGGAACACTCCTCCATTGTTGGTGGGAGTGCAAACTTGTGCAGCCACTTTGGAAATCAGTATGGCAGTTCCTCAGG